AATGGAAAAATGTGTGAATGTCAGTTTTTCTGTATAGATTTTTTCCCAGTGTAAATTTGTAATGTACGTATAATTTTGATAAAGAGCTATTCTTGTTACTATAAGTCTGGTAAATAATATGGCTACTTTGTGATCTAAAAAAGCCACACAGATGTAGGACGGGCTTTTATTATTGAGAAGTATCAGCGAATCACTTAGAATTGTAGTTATTTTCCTTCGTCAGTACTTGCCCATGTTAGCCAGGAGATGACAAAGTTAACGTTCCTGAACCTTGCTTTCCTTATCTGTACCATGAGGAAAAGGATTGTACCTACTTTACTTGGCCAATGTGGGAATTTAAAAGAGAAATTTATTTCTTACGTATATTTGTTTAATGAGAAATTTATTAAAAATGCTTAACACAATGTCTGAGACATACAAAGTGCTTAATAAATATTAGCTGTAATAATAATACCACTAAATATTATTGTTACTCAAAGTGATGCCCCTTACTTCTCTCCTATTCTCTTGCCCAGCAGAATGCTCTGAGCTCTGATGGCAGTTTGTGGCTATCCCACCTATATAAGAATGTAGTGCTACCTTTTTTTTAAAAAATATTTTATTGATTTTCTACAGAGAGGAAGGAAGAGGGACAGAGAGTTAGAAACATCGATGAGAGAGAAACATCGATCAGCTGCCTCCTGCACACCCCCAACTGGGAATGTGCCCGCAACGAAGGTACATGCCCCTGGCCAGAATCGAACCCGGGACCCCTCAGTCCGCAGGCTGACGCTCTATCCACTGAGCCAAACCGGTTAGGGCTGTAGAGCTACCTTTTATTATAGTTACGTGTGCATGCAACTGTCTCCGTTACCAGAATGATAGTTTTTTGAGGTCAGGACCATACCCTATTTATCTTTATAACCCTGGTTTGTGGAACATAACTAGACCTCATTAAATACTGAATGAGTGCCTTTATGAATGTTTTGGGTGTAGTTTTGCAGATTTTTTTTTATAATACTCATTGTCTTGATTAAATGCACCCTATTCATTAATGCAGATAATCAAGAATTAAACATTCGTTTTTTCATATGATTTGGCTATTTGTTCCTACACAAACTGTGCCAAAGCATAATGGCTTTGCTATTCTGGGGTTCAGTTGGCCATACCTGAGTTTGCTGGCAACATTCATATAATTGCAATCACATGGCAGCTAAGGCTGGCATGTTCGAGACAGAATGTTCACTTAACCTGTTGGAGCCTTAGTGGTAGCAGGAGTCAGTTGGGATTTATAGTTGGGCCTCAGTGCCAGTATCTCTCTTTTCCTTCCTCTCTTCCTCCTCCTACCCTTCCCACTTTCTTCCTTCTTCCACTTGTTCTCTCCAGAAAGGTAGACATACTTCTTAAATGGTGACTCAGGACCCCCCTATGTGCAAAAGCACAAGTTGCCAAGTTTTCTTAAGGCTGAGGCCTGGAACTGGCAGAGCATCAGTTCTAGCCTATAGCAATGCACATTGTCTGCATTAGAATACAGGCCCAGCCTATATTCTAAGGGAGGGAGGATATGAGTACCAAGAGTTGTGATTCACTGAGGGCGACGAATGTAACAGACTAGCAATTCCTATAATAAAGATTTTCTTTTTGGATGTTTTCAAATAAGCATAACAAAATAGCCTAATTGTAAGAGAGATAAGAAGGAAATGTAGCAACCCTTATGAGTCCATACATGAATCAGACAATTCAAATTCTCTGCCACTTTAGTAGCTTTGTAATGTAGGCAAGTTCATGTCTCTGACTCATATGTTACTCATCTACAGATGCTTTTTTCATAGGGAGGGTGATAGAATTTAAATGAGACCATGGATCTTAGTACCTGGCACACAGTAAGTATTCAGTAGATGATAGCTATTACTGTACTGTTATTATTGCTATCATTGTTATTTCTAATGACTAATGTCTTGGTGTCAGCATAAAGGCAATAGCTAATGCAGTACATTTCATATGAATTGAGTAGAAGCATTTTGGTTAGTTTTTTCAATTTCAGTTGACTATTTTATATCTTTGTCTTTTATTTTTGATCTATGTCCTTGTTGGCTGATGGTGTTTAAAGTCAGTCTCTAATTTTATATAGTTTTAGTTTCCTACTCGTAAAATAATTGGGAAAATAAACTCATAGATTAAAATTAGAAGATAAAAATTCTTTTCTTCTATGAAGTCATGAAGACGCATGTTTTAGAGGAGATAGAGAAGATTCCAGTTACTTAATTTCCTGAAATACACATTCTATTCTGTTCTGTCCTTTCCTATCCTGTCCCATCCTTTTTCTTGATATAGCTTTGGGATTAATCAATTGCTGAGGAAACTTTGTAAATAAGTGATTATTACTATTTTTTTTTAATACTCATCCGAGAATAGTTTTTCCCATTAATTTTCAGAGTTGAGAGGAGAGAGGAGAAAGAGAGAGAAACATCGATGTGAGAGAGACACATTGATTGGTTGCCTCCCAGTCGTGCCAGGACCGGGGCTGGATGAACCCGCAACCAGGTATGTGCCCTTGACCAGGAATCGAACCCGAGACCCTTCAGTGTGAGGGCTGACACTCTAACCACTAAGCAGTGCTGGCCAGGGCAAGTTATTATTATTTTTTTAATTTTTAAAAATTTATTTTAGAGAGAGGAAGGGAGGAGACAGAGACAGAGACATTGATGTGAAAGACCCAACCAGGATTGAACCCGGACAACTCACTCAGCAGCGAAGCCCACATTTTTCTTTTTCTTTGTGAAGCCCACATTTTTTAAAGTTTCAAAAGCAAAGCGAATGTACTTGGTTACATAATTGGCTTAAAGGTGCCTGAGGCTTTAAATTATGAACCATTTCGGAGAGAAGAAATGATGCCAAGGTAGTATCAAGTTTGAAAAGCAGTGGTTGGCATTCTGTGAGTAAAAGGGAACACATTTACAATGAAAGTCCAGGAGATGGATTTAGAAATGGAGTCTCCCTTCCCTGGCCCTCTCACTGCTTTGTGTTCACATACTTCCTTTTTTCTTCTGAGGCTCTAAAACAGAAACAAAGCATAGGCCCTGCAAGGAGCTTTTGAATTCTTTCTAAAGAGGAAATTGACTTTACCTAACCAATGCACTTCCTGTGTGTGCCGTGTCCGTGCGTGCCGCATCCGTTAAAGCGTGAGGCAGGCCCTGGTTGGTACGGTGTTCAGCTGCAGAATTTCCTCTTGGTGGTAGGGGTGCAAACTATATTACAGTGTTCCGACACGTGTAAGGTCTGAGTCACCTGGGCATCTTGTTAAAAATGCAGGTTCTGATTTAGTAGCTCTGGGTGAGGCCTGAAAATTTTTGCATTTCTGACAATATTCCAGGTGATGTGTCTCCCTTGGTTCTTTTAGTAAGGTCTTAAAAGCACACTTGATTAACTTTATTTTTATTCAGTAACATTTATTTGCTTAGTGCTGGTATGTTAGGGACTTATTCTCAAGGATCCCACAGCTGAGTGATGAACCAAATCAACTACATTTTTACTTTGGCTCTTTAAAAAAAAAAATTGATTTTTTACAGAGAGAAAGGGAGAGGGATAGAGAGCTAGAAACATCGATGAGAGAGAAACATCAATCAGCTGCCTCCAGCACACCCCCTACTGGGGATGTGCCGGCAACCGCCATACATGACCTTGACTAGAATCGAACCTGGGACCCTTCAGTCTGCAGCTGACGCTTTCTCCACTGAGCCAAACAGATTAGGGCAAGTTTGGCTCTTTTTTAAAAAAAATCAACAAAACAACTTAGACTTTGGTTTATTTTATAGAAGTTCTTTAGTAACTTTACAGAGATTAACCATTAAATTTAAATCAGGATTTCTCCTTTATGATTTAAGGAATTTTATTACTGCACACATACCAGCCACTGTAATTCCCAATAAGGTGAAAAAGAGAAAAAGTTGCGTCCATGATCTGTCCACCCAGCCAATCAAACTGTTAGTTTTATTGTGGGTGTTTTTTTTGGTATTTCTTTGTTGTCTTTGGGCAGGGGCATCTTTTGTTTTTATGTGGTTGTGAACATTTCTGCAAAACAATTTTGTATGTCTGCTTTTTAAATTTAGTATTAGAGAATAAATAGAAATTGTTCTAAATTGCTCTATTAGCTATTAAAATATAGTGCTGTAGCCTGGCCGGCGTGGCTCAGTGGCTGAGTGTCGACCTATGAACCAGGAGGTCACGGTTGGATTCCCGGTCTGAGCACATGCTCCGGTTGTGGGCTCGATCCCCAGTAGCAAGCATGCGATCAGTGATTCTCATCATTGATGTTTCTGTCATTCTCTTCCTTCCTCTCTGAAATAAAAATAATAATAAATAAATAAATATAGTGCTTTCTCCATATTTTGATATATTTTTTCTAGGTGGTTTTCCTTGGACTTCAAACATTCTTGCTAAGATCAAGTTAGCAAAAGGGTTAGGGCAGTAAACATAATATGTCATATGAAACTAATACGATAATGTTAGCAAAATAAAGTATGTGTTTGCTTTAATTCAACTACGAGTTTTGGTTTATAGTTAGAATTTCCTTTTTTGTTGTTAATCCTCACCAGAGATATTTTTTCCATTGCTTTTAATACAGAGTGGAAGGAGGAAGGAAGGAAGGGAGGGAGGGAGAAAGAGAGGGAGACAGAAACATCAACTGATTGCCTCCTGCACATGCCCTGAACAGGACAGGGAGCAAACCTGCAACCCAGGTACATCCCCTTGAATATGTGTGCAATGTAAAGATTTTCTTGTTTTATGTCTTAGGGCAGCGGTCACCAACCTTTTGGACCTCACAGACCACCAGTGGTCCATGGACCACCAGTTGGTGACCGCTGTCTTAGAGCAGCGGTCCTTAATCTGGCTGTGTGGATGTAGAGCAGTGTGTTTCAAAGTATGGGTTGCAGAATCACAGGTGTGCTTGTGAAAAACAAGAACTCCATACTTCCTTTGCCCTCCTCCTCCCAGCTTCTAGTTGGGTAGGTCTGGGATGGAGCCCTGAAATCTGAATTATAACAGGCAGCCTGTTTGATTGTTCTGCAAACCACCTTTCAGATTTACTGCTCCCAGCAAGCCGTGGTTGGGGTCTAAGGGAATTTGTAACCCCTGAAATTGAATAAATAGGGTATTCATTTTTCTGGGAAGAGGATCAATAAATTTCTCAGTGAGATTCACAAAGAGGACCATAACTCAAAAAAGATTAAGTCATTGTCCCAGAAGTGTGTTTTTATTTTTTAAAAAATATATTTTATTGATTTTTTACAGAGAGGAAGGGAGAGGGACAGAGAGCTAGAAACATCGATGAGAGAGAAACATCAATCAGCCGCCTCCTGCACACTCCCCACTGGGATGTGCCCGCAACCAAGGCACATGCCCCCGACCGGAATCAAACCTGGGACTCTTGAGTCCGCAGGCTGAAGCTCTATCCACTGAGCCAAACGGTCAGGGCCAGAAGTGTGTTTTTAAAATAATATATTTTTATTGATTTCAAAGAGGAAGGGCGAGGGAGAGATAGAAACATTGATGAGAGAGAGACACTGATCGGCTACCTCCTGCACACGCACCACCGGGGATCAAGCCTGCAACCTAGGCATGTGCCCTGACCAGGAATCGAAGTGGGGACCTCTTGGTTCATGGGTTGACGCTGAACTATGAGCCACACCAGCCAGACCCAGAAGTGTGTTTTTTATGAACATTTTCTTCTTATTATGAGCTTCTTAGGATTTTAAATAAATTCTTAGTTTTCTTTTCGCATAATGAGGGCATTTTATCCATGAGTGGATTTTTTGGTATTGTAGCTTTCTAATGTACCATTTCTTTATTCTTTTTTAAAAAATATTTTATTGATTTTTCACAGAGAAGAAGGGATAGGGACAGAGAGCTAGAAACACCGATGAGAGAGAAACATCGATCAGCTGCCTCCTGCACGCCCCCTACTGGGATGTGCCCGCAACCAAGGTACATGCCCCTGACCGGAATCGAAACTGGGACCCCTCAATCCGCAGGCTGACACTCTATCCACTGAGCCAAACCGGTTCGGCCATTTCTTTCTTCTTTAAGCAAATGAATTTTAATGCCCTCCTAGTTTAAAATTATTTTTTTACTGAAATGTACTATTGCCACGAATTACTTTGTGCAGATGATATTTTCTAACATTTATTTATTTTTTAAAAATATATTTTATTGATTTTTTACAGAGAGGAAGGGAGAGGGATAGAGAGTTAGAAACATCGATGAGAGAGAAACATCGATCAGCTGCCTCCTGCACACTCCCCACTGGGGACGTGCCTGCAACCAAGGCACGTGACCCTGACCGGAATTGAACCTGGGACCCTTGAGTCTGCAGGCTGACGCTCTATCCATTGAGCCAAACTGGTTAGGGCTTTCTAAAATTTACTTATTGAGAACAACAGTGTGCCAATTGTTTTACTACGTGCAATATATATTTTTATTTAACCCAAGTATCAACCCCATGAGGTAAGCATAAGGAAATTGAGGTATGGAGTGCTTAATTTCCTTGACCACATTGACATAGTTTGTGAATGATGGAACCAGGGTTTGAGCCCATTCTGTCTCACCTGAAGGCCAGTTGTGTGCAAGTCTGCAAGTTTGTGCAGATGAATCACATTTGGTTTTCTAGTGAATAGAAGATGATGATTGTGTAGTACTTGAAATTATCATAGGTGTTGCTTGTGGATTAGCCTTTTTTAGTGATTCTGATTCTGAGTTTTGTTATTTCTTTTCAGATCAAAGAGAGTGCATCACAGACCAGAGATGTCCTCAGACAGCATTTTAATGATTTAAAGGGAACCCTTGGGAAGCTCCTGGATGAGCGACTGGTGACCCTTTTGCAAGAAGTGGATACCATTGAGCAAGAGACCATCAAACCACTAGATGACTGCCAGAAGCTCATAGAGCACGGAGTTAACACTGCAGAGGACTTGGTCCAAGAAGGTGGGCTTCTCCTATTAAATGTGGCAAATTCAGACCGACAGTGCTCATTTCTCAGGATGCCAGCAGGCTTATTGCCATCTGTGGGTGCTTACAAAGTTCCTACCATGGGACAGTTTATAATATAGGATGACAGATACACAGTGAGTTATTTCAGCATAAATGCAATTAAAGTGTTAATTATAATCATTTACAAAACAAGGAGTAAATGATTTTTCTCAAATATTTCTATGATATTATCACATTTACTGTTAACAGCAATTTTAAGGTCATTTTGAGTCTTCAGATCTTTTTCTGAGTGTTTGTGGATTATAGAGTTTAATTCCCTTTTTCTGTATACATATGTTTTTTTATTGATTGTTAGAGAGAGAGAAAGGGAGAGGGATAGAGAGCTAGAAACATCCGTAAGAGAGGAACATCATCGATCGGCTGCCTCCTGCATGTCCCTTACTGGGGATCGAGCCTGCAACCGAGGCATGTGCCCTGACCAGGAATCAACTGGTGACCTCTTGGTTCTTGGGTCAACGCTCAACTGCTGAGGCACGCTGGCTGGGCAATTCCATTGTTCTTTTTAATAGGTTAACAAATATGATTAGTGTTTACTCCTGAAATTGTAGTTGTTATATTTTTGTCTTTAGCCAATTATTTTGGTTGAAACATGCCCAGATCTAGCCTGCCTTCCTTCCTCCCTCCCTCCCTCCCTTCCTCACCTTTGGGGTTCATGTGAGCGAGGCATATATGCTGAGAGAGATCTGAGGCCTTACGGGAGCACAGAAGGGAGATACTTAACTGGAAGAGTGTAGGAGAGTTTTCTGTAGGAGGAGTTTTGCAGAGGGAGCTAACAGCCCGAGTGGAAGCAGAAGGAACATCACTCATGAAGGGAGGGGCGTATCAGGGATCTTTTTGAAGTAATTTAGGCAGCGGAGTTACACAGAGTTGCATTTTAAAAAAATGGCACAGCCTACAGTTTGGAGACTGGGTTCAAAGTTGTAAGACTAGTGGTAAAGAGACTAATTAGAAAGTTGCAGCAGTAATCCAGATAGGAAAGAATGATGGCAGAGACGAGAGGATAAGGTAGAGCTGGTTTTAAGATTTTTCAGATAGAATTATTAATGATTTTACTGATGAATAAGAGTTGATTACCGGCGATTGACTGGATATGGGTTGGAGGAGAAAGTGAAGGATTTAGGATGACCAAAACCAGCCTGATTTTGGGTGTCGGTAAATTGTGCTTTTTACTGACATAGGAAATGAAAGAGTAGGGTTGGGCTCTGGTGGGTACTTAGACATTTGGTTTGGGCATGTTGACTTTGAAGTGCTTAACACATTGTTTGCTGGTAGTTTTTATTGCGCGCTAACAGGTGGTGCGGGCCATTTTTGCTAATTTTTTGTGCAAATGGCAACATTCAGTAAAATTACGATAACTTTAGTTTACGTATTTATATGTTACCCGCATTCTACCGCTAGTCTATAAAAAACGTATTAATACGTGTCCTACGCTCTACTACACTGGTAGAACGTATAAATACGTAAAACGTATAAATTTTCCCGCATACAATGTGTTAAGATGAAAGGGAGTTGGGAGTGATGCTTAGGAGAGGGATAATATCTGGAGATGTTAATATGGCAATTAATGGCATATATATCAGATCTGAATCAATGGGAATAAGAAATATCATCAAGAGATAGTCTACAGCCCTAACCAGTTTGACTCAGTGGATAGAGCATCGGCCTGCGGAGTGAAGGGTCCCAGGTTCGATTCCAGTCAAGAGCATGTACCTTAGTTGCAGGCACATCCCCAGTAGGGGGTGTTCAGGAGGCAGCTGATCGATGTTTCTCTCTCATCGATGTTTCTAACTCTCTATCCCTCTCCCTTCCTCTCTGTAATAAATCAATAAAATATATTAAAAAAAGAGAGATAGTCTACAATATGAGATGAGAAGGCAGAGATGGTAGAACTCTGAGGGACAGCAACATTTAAATAACTCCAGGGGGAAAAAGAGGCAGGGGAGGCGGTGGAATGCCATCCATTCTGCAGACCGAGTGCAGTCAGTGGCAGAGGATAAAAGTGTGCATGGCTCACAAGTCTGTGACTCCACCTGGAAATCAGTCCCCCGTTTGGTCTTACGTGGAATATGGTACCAGTGTTACCTTCACATGCTAAGTGTATTTTAGTCTCATCTTCAGTGAGAAGTGTTTATTTGCTGTTCACCATAACAGTGCCTTTGAGAAAAATTTTTTTAGCAAGACCACAGAAGGTCTTTCCCTGGAGGCTGTGCATTTGGAAACAAACCCAGAAGCAGTTCATCACAGGTCAGGAGTGTACACCCATCACCCTGAGGACTGAGAGATGTTTTTAGTTTAGAGAATAAATCCTTCGAGGCACATACATGCTTGTCACAGTATCTTTCCATTTTTTTCAGATGCTTCAATTTTTTTGTATTTCAGAAATACTTTAAATTTCAAACTCTTTCCTCCTTTCCCAAGGGATAAAAGCTTATTTATGGAATTGGGAGGATTTTAAGGCAGTGTTCAGTGTGTCTCTTTTCCTTTTGGTGAAGGAAACTTTGGTCATTCCAAGGTTCATTCAGATAGAAAAGAGTTCTGGTGGGGCTGTGGGAGGATATAGAAGTGGTTGTGATTTACTGCCTTTATATAGCATTTTCTTTTTATTCTGTTGAGTAATTTCTAATCTAATAGGTGATAATCTTTTAGGAAAACATTATGATTTGTTGTCTTTTGTTGTTTTTTTAATCTTTACTGTTGAGAGTATTACACATGTTCCTCCTCCCCACATTTGGTTTTATAAGATCCCGTGTGCCCTATTCCTTCTGGCTCCTATTGGTGTTCATGAAAGTTTCTTTAGGAGAGATGGAAAAAGTCCCTGGGTCTTCTGCTTTCCATAAAGTTGATTGACAACCAGATTTCCTTGATTAGAACAGAATAGACATTTCTAGCAGGATGTTGCCATTGTGGACCCCTTTTCCTCTTGAACTTAACCTTAGTGTCACTTCTAAAATAGTGTCTGTTTTTACTTCTTGGGAATTAAAATAAAGCTACTTTAAATTTTGTTTTTCAGTTAGAGTTTACATTCAATATTATTTTGTATTAGTTTCAGTTATACAGCATAGTGGTTAGATAATCTATACAGCATAGTGGTTAAATAATCAAAGTAGTTCCCCTCTCCTCCAATATTTCCAGTACCCACCTAGCACCATACAGGTATTACAATATTATTAGAGACCTAGTGCACAACATTCATGCACAGGTTGGGTCCCTAGAGGCTGCCGGCTGCCTGCCAGGGCCTCCCTTTATTCCACACCACCCCCTGGCGATCAGTGCACATCATAGTGAGTGATCGAATTCCCGGTCTCCCGGTCGATCTCCTGAGGGGACACTTTGCATATTAGGCTTTTATATATATAGGTTTCCTATGCTGTACTTTATATCCCCATGATTATTTTGTAACTACTAACCTGTACTTTTTTAAATTTTAATTTAAATTTTTATTAAATTTATTGGGGTGATATTGGTTAACATCATCATATAGGTTTCAGGTGTCGGTTTCTATGTTAGAAGATCTGTATATTGCACCATGTGCCTACCACCCAAACAACCCATACTTCTTAATTCCTTCACCTCTTTTTGGAAATTTTTTAAAAAATATATTTCATTGATTTTTACAGAGAGGAAAGGAGAGGGATAGAGAGTTAGAAACATCGATGAGAGAGAAACATCGATTAGCTGCCTCCTGCACAACCCCTACTGCAACTAAAGTACATGCCTTGACCGGAATCTAACCTGGGACCCTTCAGTCCACAGGTGGACGCTCTACCCACTGAGCCAAACTGGTTAGGGCGGGAATTTTTTTTTAAAGATTTTTTTGATTGCAGAGAGGAAGGGAGAGGGAGAGAGAGATAGAAACATCAATGATGAGAGAGGATCATTAATCAGCTGCCTCCTGCACACCCCACACTACAACCTGGATTGAGCCCACAACCTGGGCATGTGCCCTGAGGGAACCGAAACATGACCTCCTGGTTCATAGGTCGATGCTCAACCGCTGAGTTACGCCAGGCCTCTTTTGGGAATTTGATTGTGGCATCACTTAAGAATTGTTTGCAAGAAAACCAGAGACCTACCTGGACATGGGTTGTATTGATTACTTGAGAGTGTGACTATTTTTCACTCAACTAGATCTCTTATTTCTGATTCTAGGTGAAATTGCCATTCTTGGTGGTGTAGGAGAACAGAATGAAAAACTGTGGAGCTTTACCAAAAAGGCCTCACACATTCAGTTGGACAGGTAAGAGTTAATGCCTTTGGGGCTTACTTTTAAGCATCTAAACCAGCGGTTCTCAACCTGTGGGTCGTGACCCCTTTGGCGGTCGAACGACCCTTTCACAGGGGTCGCCTAAGACCATCCTGCATGTCAGATATTTACATTACGATTCATAACAGTAGCAACATTACAGTTATGGAGTAGCAACGAAAATAATTTTATGGTTGGGTCCCAACATAAATATCTATATTTAAAGG